GCCAAATTATAGTAAAACAATGTTATGTTTATGTATTATTAAAAAGTAGTTCTTAATTTTAGGTAGGTTTGCCCCGGGGCGCAAAAAATCTTAATCCGGCCCTGCATATCATAATTAAGAGTCAAATTCTAATTTTTGCGAATGATAAGAACTCTGATTTAAAATTATTATTTTTGAAATTTTATATCTTACATCATTTATTTATTAACTGTTGTAATTAAAACTTTATATTTMATTACATTATATTATGTATTGTAACTTTTAGTGACGTAAAATTAACTTATAATTATTTAAAAATAAGTTTAACATAAATTGGCTCTGTCTAATTGTTAAATAATTACATTTTAGTTGCATATTGTTGATTGCTTAATTAAGTAAATATGATATTTTTTCATACTTTATAGATACTCAAGTAGTGAATATAGACAAATTCCAAGACTTCGTAGACAATTAAAGCGTCATCGCAATGATCTACGTCTTCATAAAGAAGTATTATCTTTACTTAGTAGACCACCACCACCACCAGTTTCAGAAATGTTAGTATTTAAATTAACTCCTACTTTAACAAAACAATTATTCTAAAGCTTGTGAACATCAATACTGAGCACTCGAGCAGCTTAGTTTTTGCCAAATATTAAAATTTATGTTAAAATATGATAAGTATATTAAATAAATTATGAATTATGATCTAACTTGAAGCACATCAATTTTATCATCCTATTCTAACACAATATGTAAAAAAATTTTCCAGATTTAATAGTCCAGTTACTGATTCGCCTTTCAGAAATTTTATGGAAATTACTCAAGATTTTGAAAACAAATTTAATGAATTAAGTTTGGAGTTTCAAAGAATCCAACTTATTAGTTTTTTTGACATGCATAAAGATGAGGAATGGTATACTGTATAAATAAAATATCTTTATCGTCTTGATATAATATATTAATACAATTAGTGCGTATTAATTTTATTTTATTAGGTTTAAGATTAAATATCATCCTGATGATAGAGTAATAGAAAAACAAAAGAAAACCATGGTACTTAAGGTAAACATTTAAATTATTTTTTTATTCAAATACCTACAATTTATGTTTTATTTTTTTTAATTTTAGAAACGGTTAGACGTTTTTAAAGAATTTTTAGCAAAGGGTAAAGTTGATTTCGTTAGCGTGGATGCAGAGAATCCAGATCCTCTAGTTCATCTACTTGATTCTGTCATAATAAAACTTGAAGGAGGCACAGATTTTGATTTAACTGTGTTGAATCCTATTAAGACATCTAAATTTCAACAGGAGTCAGAACATGAAAAAAAACAAACGAATAAAAAAACAAAGTATGAAGCTTCACTCACGCATTTATTCAATCTATACAATGGTAAAATTTTAATATTTTAAACCTCAATTTATAAATATTATAGTGTTGGTGAAAATTCTGATTACGAAGTGGACTATAGTGAAAAATATGTGGTTGAAAAAAATAAAAGATACAAAGCTAATAAAACCGATGGTAATAAATTTTTAATTTCAATATTACCAATATTAGAGTAGCACTATTATATTTTTCAAAATAATAAAAACATTTGTTTATGTTGGGTTAAGTATTACTTTAGTTTTAATTTTCCATGAAAAAATAATTTTATGTTATAATTTAGTTAATATGTTTATAGAAGCAATGGATGTAGATGTTCAAAAACCAGTAATCTTTAATATAACATTCAATAACGATCAAAACGTACAAGTTTTATAAAAAAATTATTTTATTTTATTTAGATTAAATATTGGTGTTAAAATATTTTATGTATATTGCAGAATGACSWASAGCCAAGAGCATTGCACTACACAAATTCATTATTTTTGCATAATTTACCACCTACAATAACGAAAAGTGAACTGGAAACAGTAAGTGAACTTTAATTTTAAATAAAAAAAATACATTTTTGAAAAAAGATATTGTGAGGTAACTACCTTTTTGTTCTTTAACAATATGCAGTCAAACGTTAGTTATCTAATAATCAGTTTTAACTGTAYAGTAGTGACTACTTTTATTTTTTGTTGCTATAAATTAAAGAAAATATATATATATATATTTTTTTTTTAGATTTGTAAACAGTTTACAGGATTTAGAAGACTACATATAGATGATCCAACACCTCAGCACCTTTGGCATAGACATGGTTGGGTAGTTTATGATGGATATGTAAGGATTAATGACATTTTACAGAAACTTGAACATGTTAGAGTAAGTTTTTATACCTACCAACCTAATTGAAATTACAAATTAAATAATTGAAGAATGTACTCCATGCATGTGCCATGTACATACTCTGTAGGTACATGTATACATGTAAATTGCATACGATATCGAAAGTAATATGTTATTAATATAATTACAAATTGTTAATTATTATCGTTGCCCTTAGAATTTAAGGCGTATAATGAGGTTTCTATATAAACTTAATTCTACTAATATTAATCATTGGTTGTTAGGGGCAACCTATCTTTATAATATTAATTTCATTTTGTTATTGTTTAGTTGTAATGGCAACTTTAACATGAAATTGGTAAGAAAAATACAAAAATATTTTACTCTCTAGGCTTCAACACGATGACGTAATGGTAACGCTCATGGTGTCGCACAAATTTAAAGAATGACCCCAGCCATAAGACATATACATATCAAAAAATGTCCCGGCTTTGATAAACGTAATACCATGATAGTTCATGTCACTGACTCATCTCACTTGTTTGCTCTATTCTAGAATATGATTAACCTTCTGTATTTGGCTCGCGATCAATTATGTAAAGAGTAGACYGTTGTTTATCTTATGTAGGTACCACACCCCACATGATTATTCTACTACTTGCTCCTCCGTAAGCATTCATATCCTTGACTCTCGACGTATTGATGATATTTCATCACTAGGTACTTGTTATAGTGGTATGTTTACCTTCCTATCCAACATGAAATCACTAGCTTTTTACTTTTCTTCGCACCTAACCTAACTTCATATGGTAACCATCATACTATAATATGGCAACAAATTAGCTTAGTTTCTTGGCCATTACCTTAACCTTTTATGTGCATCTTACATTGTATGATAGTTAACCAAATGCTTTATAGCGTAAAACTAAAATAAATTAACACATATTTGAATTTGTAATTTCTGTGTGATTTTATGTTTATTTGTAAGTATTAAAATGCATATTCACATTTTTCAACATTATTTACATGTTTATATTAAATTAGTCTATAATAAACTAGTTTTAGTGGTAAGCAGTTGATGGCAATTGTATAATTAAAGCCAATACTTTGGAAATGATTAAATTGAACGCTATTAACTTTTTTCATAACAGTTTTTATTCCATACCATGAATATTAGTATTATAATTAGCTAAATGGTTGAATATAATTTATAGTTGGATGGCAATAAACTGGGCGTGACTGATATCAAAACGGATCTAAAAGATCGCATACGATCTGTGAATGGAATAACAAATCATTTTCAAGTTGCTCGTAATGATATGAAACTATGTGTCAGTATTATAAACTACTTAGATAACCGTTCAGGTTTATGGCAGTCAATTGAYAGCGAGGAACCGGCTATGGAAAACACTTATGGTATCGTATCACGTAATCCTGTACTACATAATATTCTAGATTTTATAATTGACGAAGCGTCGGCTGAAGAAGAAGAACTTTTAGGAGAATGTGTTCCTTTCGAATCCGAAGTCAATACTGAAAAACATATACAACTGTTAAAGGTAATAATTTTATCAATTAAATTTAAAATATTTATGTTAAAACACAGCACGCAACTTATCCTTGCAAGGTAATGCTATGAATCATAAATATGTTTTYKGGGAAGGGAAACTGAACTTTGTATACATTGTATTGCTTAGTATAGCATATTGTTTCATTACCACGTTCTGTAGACATTTGTCAACATATCTAGTTGTATATTGATGTTAACATTATCATAACAATCATGGTAAATGTAATAAGTGTTAGGAAAATCGGCCAAAAAAAAAAAAATTGTAGCCTGCCCAAACATATATACAGGTATATGATTTATCGAACAACACTCATTATTTCAAAAAGTATTAACTTATTTCAAAATATTTTTTTACATGGTTTCAAGTTGTTAAAAAACCAACGTTTTTATTAAAAAAATTATATTTTTAAATATTTTTTATCCTTATTATTTTTTATGTTTTTTACTTTTTTGAATGTCAACATAGAGTTTTAATTTCATATTCCAAAGCAGAATATTTTTCTAAGTATTTTGATAYATACAAATCGAATTTGGGGCTAGTAGTTTATGAGTTATAAGTATTTAAAGTTTAGATTGGCAGAGTGGAGTGGTACGGGGTTACCCCGCAAAATATTTGTCCACTACTACTAAATTATATTTTTAATAAAAACGTTGGTTTTTTAACAACTTGAAACCATGTAAAAAATATTTTGAAAAAGTCAATACTTTTTGAAAAATGAGTGTTTTATGATAAATCAATCACCCTGTATATGTGAATAATTGGTACTCAAAATTATATTTTCTACAATAAAATATAATTTTATAGTGATTTATATTTATTTTTTTTATTTTAGGCATTAGATAGGATGTTACTTTATTTACGTATTGTGCATTCAATTGATTTTTATGACTGTAAAGAGTATGCAAATGAAGATGACATGCCGAGCAAATGCCATATTATGCATGCACGTGGTGCACCTACCAGCAATCCAGTATGTTGATATTTAATCGGTTAATATTTACAGCCTTGATTATTAATAGACCTAAATAAAAATTAATTTTAGCCTAGCGATCAAGAAATCGCTGATTATTGTCACAATTTCCAAACAAAAATTAACTCTTCGATTATGAAGACTGATGAACTAAGTGAAATAGAATTGATTGAGCTTGGAGCTAAAGATGAAGAAGAAGAAATCGAAAAGTTTTTAAGTTCTAATATGATAAAATTATCAAATTACAAATGGCTCTGCAATTTGTCCGGAAGAAAATTCAAAAGACCCGAATTAGTGCGCAATCATATTATCGAGAATTTTCATGAGCAACTGAACGATGTGAAAAAACAAGTAAATTAAAATTTGGATGTATATTTTTACTGAATAATAATGTTAAAATTATGGTTTTTATGTGTATAAAGGTGAAATATTTCAATAATTACCTTCGTGATCCGAAGAGACCACAACCGCTTCCTKTGTGAATATGATGGAAATTATCTAAATCTGTAAGGCTAATTTTTAAAACTATTTAACTTTTAATATTATGACACTACAATTATTAGAAATCAGATTTTATTTGTTATTGATATCAAAAAATCTGGTTATCCATCATATGAAGGTGTTGGCAAATAAGCACGGAAACGTATTAAAAAGTATGGCAACTTAAGTATGTTTATACTATATAAATCATTAAACTTCTATTTTAAATTTTGTCCATGAATATATATAATTATTAATTATATTATATAACTTATAAGTTATAAGTAAACAAAAAAAAAATATTATATTGTTAAACTTATAGTTTGGTTTTGGTATACATTAATTTAGCATTATGTTTAAGCGTATTATACTATTTTAATTCAGTCACTCATAATAGGTATGTCTGTACTATATAAGTCATCAAACTCCTATTTTAAATTTTTTCTGCGAATATGTATAATTATTAATTATATTCTATAACATATAAGTAAAAAAAATATATTATTATACATTTATTAGCATCATATTTAACCGTACTATATTTTCACCGAGTCACTCACAACATATTTGTACTATATAAGTCATCAAAATGTTTGTTAAAGTACCTAAATATATAAAAATTAAATGTCACATGTGGTTGTTATTGTTGTTAGTATTTATATGACACGCTCAAAATTCAGATGAGTTGGTTTGATCGAATCTATACGAAAAATGGTCAGCGCTATTTATTTATTCTGAATATGAATGTAAAAAATACACCTACCTACGCTCTATACTAAGAGATTATTAATCAGTATGTCGTTRAAACAAATTTGTGGCCAATTGTGTAATCAAGTATAATCAAAAAACGAAGGTATCCTGTATTGTAAAGATATTTTTTTTTCAACTGAGAACAAACACCAATACAATAATWATTATACTTAGGTATTACGTATTTTTAATTTTTGGACAATTTATAAAGGAAATAGTTAAGACGGTCTTAAAATTAAATAAATAATATGATCATTTTGAATTTTGAATATACACAAATAGAACAAATGCTGTATTATATTATTTTGTTAATTTAATTTAAATTATTTGTTAATAATACTATGAATAATTAAGCATTTATAACATGTACTGCAAATGTAAACCATTAGACAAATTTTTAGTTCTTTAAATTTGAAAGAACTAAATTTACAGTATACAACAATAGTCAAAAATCTGTTGAAGAGACGCAAGATATACGTGAAATCATAGGCGAAAATAGCATTTTGAGATTTAGGGGTAGCTAAAGCCCTAACCATTGAATATGGCATTTATGGAAATTATTTACACCTCAAAAGTTTTCCAATGCAGCATAATATATGAACCTAACAACATAGGTACCTGGACTTAAAATAGTTTAACGATTTTTCCCGAAAATCGATAAAAACTAATGTTATGATAACCATATACTGGTATTACGAATACAAAAGATGACTTTATTGACACCAGATATCGTAGTAGCACCGATCGCCCAATTTATATATTATGACATATTATGTCATGGTAAATTGTTTGGATGGGGTGGCCACCATTAGATAGTGCCATGTACTGCATCCAGAATGTACGTTAAAACATTCAAATAAAGTTTTTAAACGTTACATTACTTATTTGTAGATGCTTTGATTTATATCTGATGGTTAAATTATAAAAATGGAGGGAATAATATTTAAAACACTTCGGCGCCACTGAGGTATCGTTAACAGGGCCGTAGCAACCAAATATTGCACCCCCGTYGTAACTTCAAAATGCACCCTTAAGTATTTTAATTTATAAATTGTTAATATACATGACATATTATATAGTATAAACTATAAACTCTATAATTAGGCAATGCATAACTGCAGAGTATATAGGATATATATTATTTATTTATTTAATTTTACTAATTTTAGTTATATAATTCTCATGTTACCTATCTAAAAATAAATCAAATATGTCATATGCAATTAATAATAACAGGAAATAATAAACCTACTATTTTAAATTCAAATTCTTTGTCACTGTTTATCATTTGTTCAATTCTAGTCAAGTTTTCTGTTGTCTGGAAACAAATTCAAAAATTGATCGTCAAAAGAAGTGGCAGTCATTTGAGATGAATTTTTTTCAACAAATAAATTTGCTTTTTCTAGCTTATCAATTCTAGCATCCAACCTTTGCACATAGGTACATTGAAACTACAGTTCCATGAATTGTTAAAAAAAATTCATGAGAAYTATAATCATCAACTAGAAAATATTACACAATAATAATTAGCTAATATTATAGTTAATAACAGCGGTGAAGGTATAATTATATACATTTGGTCCAGAAAAACGTATGGTCATAATATGTAATTAAGAAAATAAAAAAATATAAATATCAAATCATTATTATCTCTAAATAGCTGACGTCAAGTTATATTACTGCTACCTACTGCTTTCATAATTTTGAACATCAACATTTAATCCACTTAAGTTATTTGTAGACGAATAACTATTTAATACATTAAATGCTTCTGATAAAAAAACAGGAAAGAAAAATTGAAATTCAATAATTAAATAAATAAATATCTTTCAATAAGCAAATATACCAGATTTGATGTTTGGTGATAATCTTAAGTTTATCGCTGGTGACCCATTCATATTTTCTGCACCAGACATTTTTGAGACCTTTATTGGGGTATATTCTGGGCTTGTGTCATATATTTATGAGAAATTATTATAGAATTAAAATTATGTAAAACTATTTTATATACACAAATAGTTAATTGTTATATAAATAATTTTGAATTGCCATCTATATAATATTATTGTTATTGATATCATTTTAAAACAATTTTAACAATAAATGAATACATAATTTATGTTTAATACCTTAAAACTTATAATTGGACGAATGAAAATGATATGTAAAATATAATAATAGTAATATATAAGAATGTAAAAAAGGCTATAGATATTTAAAGTATTAACTATTTATAACAACTTTTGTAGTTTAATAAAAAAAACTTTATAAAATGCTTGGTTATATAATTATTGTAAACTAGCTGAATTTAAACTAGTAAAATGACAAATAACATAAAAATAAAAATGTACTTACCCAGTTACATATAAGAACAGATAATATAGCCGCAGGGCCGAACTGGGTAGGGCCCGGCCCACTATCCCAAATATAATAGCGGCCCTACTCTCTGAGTCTCTGACTATAGGGGTAATTAGTTAATTATAATACAAACAATTAATTTATTTCAATAACTATATTATAATATCATGATAACAGTTTTAATAAAAGTGATGAAGAATTTTTTATGATTTCCAAGACTCTTGAAAATCAACCTCTTCCAAAACTAGTTTTTCTCCTGACATCATCATAAAAGCCTCTGTTCTTGGTTCAATGACGAACGTAATCTATTTTTTATTATCTTTAGTGCTAAATTTACGTTCACAGTTAACTTGACTGACTGATAAACTTAAGCCAAATTCATATGCAGCATATAAATTTGAGTGAGCAGTAGAATGCATATTCAGTGAGTATAATAGTTTTTGAACGCAGATCAAACATTTAGAACGGTCATGATTTGATTTTGATGATTGTTTACATCCTTTAGTTAAAAAAAAATTATATTAAAACTATTAAATTAGGATAAAAATTAATTTAGTTACCAATTTTACTAATTTGAAAGTTGCACTTACCATTTTTTTCCAAATTAATGTTAAATTTGTTCCATTCCAATGAAAAATTGAGATAGTATATCAGATAATATGAACGTATGATAATACCACGTTAATATATTTTTAGCAAAACTATATGTTTATTTTTCCCAGGAAATGATTTATCGATAGACGCTTGAGATTTGAAACGATACTGRCTTAYTATAACTTATAAATAATAATAACTATTATACATAATATACTAAACACTACGTCAAATTACGCGTAGGTATGTGGCTATGTAGCCTATGTCTCATATCATATTATGTCGCATTACTATATTTTAATATTTACCTACTTATCTACCGATATAATTGTACTTACAACAGTAAGTTACAAGGCATCGGCCCAAAACCCATCCAAAGACAGCGGCCCACTGTCCTCTAGGACAGTAAACCACTGRGCCAGTACGCCCCTGAATATAGATTATAGTCCCTAAATAAAACATCAAATTTAATAGATAGCTTAATTTTACTAACCACTCATCATTGTTTCGGTATTATATTCTAATTCACACAGGCATTTTTTTGGTATATTATCCCTTCTTTTTGTTTTTTTTATACTACATGATTGGATTGGATTGGTCTGACGAGGATTCATTAATTAATAAATGTTCACAAGCATGCTTCTTCATAAAAATCTTTGAAAAATCATTGATTTTAAATAAGTACATACAATAATATACAGCTTAATTTAAATGTAGGTATTTAAATATCTGATCTTATTGAGATTATATCTAATTACCTAATTACAAAATCTGTTATAGGTATATTTTTATTAAAAAAAAAATAATAATAAAGAAGTGATACCTAAGTAATATATATATAATATCTACGTATAATAATAATATTGTATACCTTTATAATAGATAAATAATAAAAAGCTTACCTACTGGTTTTAACCAATAAGGGGTATAAATAATATAATAGTTATAGACACAATTCATACTAAGATGAATTGATTATAATACCTATATTGTTACCTATTATATTTTTTTAAACTTTCTTTGGGTAGGTATAAGCAGTAGTATAGAAATATTTATTTTAAATACACTTACCTATATTTAATTAATAATTTTATCTAAATGCTGAAGGTTAAATATATTTAGGTATGATCATTAAATTACAAATAATAGGTAGGTGCTCTATATATGTGTCTGGTGTTAATAATAAGATGATAATATAATTAAAATTTAAAATTTGTCTTAGTAGTATAGATACCTATAAGTGATATAACTATAAAATGAAATTCAAATGTAAAATAGGTATACAATACATCTTATAATG